TGGTGGTCCCCCACTCCCAGGAGGTCACCATATTGATGCTGAACTTAGTGTGGACACCGTATCAGCATAGCTCACTATAGCCCAAACTCCTGGGCTTAAGCGATCCCCCCACCTCAGCCTCCCGAGTAGCTGGGACTACAGGCATGCGCCACTACTCCTGGCAGGGATTTTTTTTTTTTGAAACGGAGTTTCGCTCTTGTTACCCAGGCTGGAGCGCAATGGCGCTATGATCTCGGCTCACCGTAACCTCCACCTCCTGGGTTCAGGCAATTCTCCTGTCTCAGCCTCCTGAGTAGCTGGGATTACAGGCATGTGTCACCATCCCCAGGTAATTTTTTGTATTTTTAGTAGAGACGGGGTTTCACCATGTTGACCAGGATGGTCTCGATCTCTTGACCTTGTGATCCACCTACCTCGGCCTCCCAAAGTGCTGGGATTACAGGCTTGAGCCACCACGCCCGGCTAGGAATTTTTTTTAAAGTAAAAATATACAGTATGGTATGGTTTGGCTCTGTGTCCCCACCCAAATCTCATGTTGAAATGTGATCCCGAGTGTTGGAGGTGGGGCCAGGTGGCAGGCGACTGGATCACGGGGGTGTTTCTAACGGTTTGGCACCATCCCCCAGTGCTGTCTCATGAGATCTGGTTGTGTAAAAGCATGTGGCACTGCCCCTTTGCCCTTTCTCTCCTGTTGCCATGTGAAGAGGTGCTTGCTTCCTGTTCTCCATCCTGAGACCTCCCAGCCATGCTTCCTGTACAGCCTGCAGAATTGTGAGTCAATGAAACTTCTTTTCTTTATTAACTACCCAGTGTCAGGTAGTTCTTTACAGCAATGTGAGAACAGACTAATACATAGTAATATTGGTAAAAATCCATCTTATTGCTAAAATTTTAAATCACAAAGATAATTATTAGTAGTGAAAGCTCATGACTGCCCTGTTGGCTATAAAACCTTCCACTTGCATTATCAGCGAAGGAGGCTACAGAATATGGCCCATCATTTTGGCTGGTGGACATGATGGAAAGAGCGTTTGGGTCATGGTTATAAAACATGTGTCCCAGCATGATTATTCCTGGGTCTCAGAAATAGCACACACATCTCACTGCTGCTCTCCTTTTACATATAAAGTATGTGACACCCAGAGAGGTTAGGTGACTCATCAGAGGTCACACAGCAAGTTATGGGGAAACCTAACCACTCAATTCAATGAATGCTTAATATTAAATCTACCCTTTGATTAAGTTCATTTCTTTGCATTAGAAGCCAGAGAGAAGCCCAAGGCCAGATTAGGATGAACCAAGTTAGCCGGCAAAGGGCCAGAACCAGCTCCTTCCAGGGTCCCAGTCACAGCCCAGGGCTATTTTCTGCCTAAGTGCAGCTGCTGCTGTGGGGTAGTCACTCAAGGGTTTTAGCCCTTGGCTCTCCTCAGGAGAGGAAAAAGGAAAGACCAAACTCCTACGGATCCTTTTGTTTGAGGGCCAATGAATACCTTGCACCTTTCACAAACTTCCAAATAACCCTCTGCCTTCCAGTAATTCTAGGAGAATGGAAATTGACTCCCACCTGCCTCTTCTAACACTATTCAAGCTAATGGCTCGGGGAGAGGCCAGGGATCGCTTCTCTGTGTGCCTGCAGCCCCCTCCTCTTCCTCCTCCTCACAGACCCAGGATATTGATCATCTCCATCAGTGATGACGCAGGACTGGGTGGGGAGGAGGCCGCAGCCCTGCAGGGGAACCGAAAGACAGAGACCTCTAGCCATGCAGCTGGGAAGTGGGGAGTGGAGGAACGGGGCTCGGGAGCCCCTCCGAGGGTCTGTGCTGGAGGCTTTCCAGTGAGGCGACAGCGGCTTATAACAGCTAATTTCCTTCCCCTTGCTAGAACCAAAAATCCACAGGGTTTTCACTGCATATTTGTGTATCTGGCACTCTCAGCTCGCCTCCCCTTGGGGACCATAAGAGATGCAGAGGAAAGAAACAACATGGTCTTCCATAATTTCAAAGTCAGTTCCAGAGTTAATAATAAATTAAGAGCTGGGGGAGGGGTGGAGGCCTCGATGTGGAAGGCTCACTCCACGCAGCATAGAGCAGCCCCTCCGGGAACAGCTTCTGGGAGTCAGGAGAAAAAGTAAGTGCGCTGGGGACCGAAGATGCTGAGGTTGCTTCCCCACCGTGGAAGGCTTCCCCTGGGACCCCAGGTTTCTGTAGTACCCACGCCTGTGGGCGCCCACCCCAGGATGGATGGGGATGGAGGTGGGAAGAACTGGAGAACATTCTCTCCCACCACTCTCCAGAGCAGGCTCCAGCTGCATCAGAGCACCCAGTATTCCCACAGTCTCTGAGGAGGGCAGCATGGCTGTTTCAGAGGAAACAGGAAGACTTCTCACCCTGGAAGTTGACAAAACCCACTCACCTCCGAGGAGGGTTCCAGACCAGCAGCCATGCCAGTTGGAAATCCAGTAGTCCTAAATGCCTGTGTGATTTTGTTATTCATTCTTTTGGTCCTAGGAAGACTATCTCCCAGATTAGGAGCTCCCTCGTTCTTCACAAGCGTCTCTTCCACCTGACTGGAAGCTCAATCAATTCTTGTCTGGGCTAGATCGTCAGGGGACTGGGAAGCCTCAGGGAGGATACTAGGCAGGTTTTGTCCCAAGAAGGTGGAGTGGGGTGTGGACAAGATCACTGCCTTGAAACATCTGAAGGGCGGTCCTGTAGGCATGGAGTTTACACCTAGCCCAACGAGAAGAGCTAGGAGGAATGAGAGATGGCATGAGGGACTCAACCTGGGATCCAGAAAAGGGTGAACTTTCTGGGAGTGGGTCAGCGAGAGGCAGTGAGCCTCCCATTTCAGGGGGAGCTTCTGGGGAGGGGCCGGGAGCACAAGGTGGTGGTCATACCTGGCAGCTGTTCTGATCCTTACCAAGCCCAAGAGTCAGTCTGTGATGGACAGATGTTCCTGTCTCTTCCACCCCTACACCTAGAGCTGCCCCTCCTGGCCACACAGAGAGGGACCAGAGGCAAATGTGCATGAGGACACAGGGACCCAATCCCAGCCAGGGAGGCCACCAAACAAATCAATCAGGCAAACAGCCACAGGCAGAGGATGGACACAGCAGTGGCTCGTGTGGGGCTCTGCCCCCCTCTTTGCCATCCCATGGCCTGGAGGACAGTCCCAGTGTCTGCCAGCTGAAAAGGCTAATAAATAGGAAAATCAGTCTTCCTTACTGATAGAGGCAGTATTCTCTTCTCTCCACCACAGGGGAGTGGGGCCTCAGCTCACTCTGTGTGCTACAGGGGACCCACTCGTTCTTCACAAGGAAAATGGGGCAGCACAGAGCAGGACAGTGACTTGCCTGCAGCCACACAGCTTACATGGCTGGTAAGAGGAAGGGGCGAGGCAGAGCTCAGGACTCCTTCCCTATCGACAGCTAGTATTCTTTCTCCTGCCCTTGCCTGCCCCTGTGGCACCATCTGCTCCTGCAGCAATCGGGAGTCCTTTTAAAACATATGTTCATCTCAGGCAGGTCCCAAAGTGGATGGAGAAATGATATATATGTTATTTGCTGGCCCGCGAAGAGCTGGGAAAATGAGCTCTTGACATTTCTGGGATACCAGAAGCATTCCTGGGACGTGTGGTCTCCATGCTTCCTCCCCCCAAACACGTTCTCTCCGGGGCACTGGGGAAGCTCGGTATTTGTCATTCTTCTCCTCCCTGTGCCCATCTGCTTCCTTCCAGGAGCCCCTCTGCACCTTGAAGACCAGGCTTGCTCCTTGGGCTCCTGGTGGGCTGCTAACGAGGAACCTGGAGGCCAGAGCCCTGTGCACACTGCTGAGGAGCCCAGGGTGTGTTCAGCAGGGACCATGACCTCTCCCCACTTGTGAGTAAATCCTGGAGAACAGGAACTAGTTTTAGAACGAATCCACATCTGAATCCAGACCCCTGAAGTCCACCCTCTTTCACCCACCAAAGCAAACAGCTGGGTCCCACAGACTTGGCCCCTCCTCCACTACCCAACACTGTCTAAGGCCCGAGATGACACAGTGACCTCTGGGGATCCCTTGCCTGAGGTTTCTGGCTCCATCAATCACAGGGAGCTGGAGAGGGAGAGCAGATTTCCCTCCAGGACTCCCGCGGATACCGACCCGGGCACACACGCTAAAGTCCTCTCAGCAGTGCTTTCACACGCTTCAGAGCAGGGCCTGCTCCTCCTCCACCCCCGCCCCTCCTCTCCTCCCCCACTCCCGCCCCTCCTCTCAGACCCAGGGCAATTTCTCTACAAGTGTGCTCACGCTGGGCCCTCTGAGCCACTGCACCAATTGACTGGATTTCAATCAGAAATCCATCTCCCTTAAGGACCGCTTTGGATAAAAGCAGAAGTAACCTGCAATCTAGATGCTGATGCCAAGCCATAATGGGGGAGCCGGAGAGAAGCCCGGCCCAACTGCGGCCCCAGCCCCCATCCCCCAGCCAGGGCGAAGTCGGGCCTCAGCTCCCAGGGCCCGAGAAAAAGAGGGCAGGGAGCCTGTGCTGCCTCTATCTCAGCCACCAGCCGCCACAGGCTAAATCCTCGAGACTGCCGCTGGGGTTAGCCGGCTGCTAGCCGTTTTAACAGTTGGCCACGGGCGGGAAACCAGCCTGGCACCCCTGGGCAGGCCCTCCGTGTGTTTCCCAGGATGTGCCCTTATAGGCCGGCTAAGGAGGGTCTGGGTGTCCTTAAAAGCCAGGAGGAGCTGCGGACTCAGCACTTGTCCCCACCTACCAACGCCCAACCTCGTCGCCAGCTGCTGCTTCCACCACTGGGTCCTCTCTGGGCCATATTGCGGTCAGGAAAGGATCACTCCGAGAAAGCCGAGCTGCTCCAATGCCCCCGCCCCCCAGACCCCGCACCGTGGACGTGGACGGAGGCGGTGCTGTAGGGACAGGAGGGACCCCGCGGAGCACTGTGGCTCTGGTGCGCAGCACGGACAGCCTCCCTGGTAAATAATGCACGCCTCCCGGGCCAGGCTGCAGCAGGTAGTGTATCAAAGTAATATCGCGCTGCGAATTGCAGTGTAATCGCCATAATTTAGGGCCCCGTGGGTGAGCCTGTTTTGGAAAGGCTGCGGGCCCGGACGGGCAAGGTGACTGGAGCGTCTGCGCCGGCTCTGACCTCTGGATTTCCTCCAAGCTAAGTGAGCCCATAAAAAATGGAGAAGCCCAGGCTGTCTCTCAGCAAATGGGGTGTGGGCAGAGAGATTGTATTATCTATCCAGACCCAGCGAGATGGATGCGCCTGCCGGGAGAAAAGCGATGTCACTGCGCGCACAGCCCGGCAGGTTGGGTGTCCGCGTGCGGCGCCCATCCTCTCCCAGGTGGCCGAGAAGGCCGGACGATGTGTCGGCTGCGCCCTGCCAGGAGCTAGATGTTTTCATTAGGACTTGGGCGGCCCCTGCCGTGAGCTGGCGGATCAGTGCCTCCCACGGGCTGCTCAGCAACCACCTTTCAGGGCCCCCAGGACCTGACTGCCGTGGCCGCTCATCCTCCCTCCTCTTGTGCTGAGAAGTTGGGGTATTAATATTCCTGCCCAGGGCCTCCTGGGGGGCCTGCTGCCCGCTCCCCTCCCCCAGCTCTGCCAGGGAAAGTCATTCTGTGGTGGAGAGATGACAGCAGGAAATGCGTTTGCAGGTTTCCTTCTAACTTCTTGATGGGAGCCAGCTGGAAGCGCAAAAGCTGTGTTGTCCCTCTGTGCTCTGCTCCTGGTGACCTAGAAGGCGATAATCGTGAGCCTCTCTCAGGAAAGACAAAGAAATGGAAAAACTTATTAGACGCTGCAGCCCCGTCACATTGCATTAGCAGAGAGCCTTGTATCTGCAGCCCCACCTCGGTGCCAGGGAGGCTGTTCTGTGTATCTTTAGAAGCCCCCACCCCCACCCCATGCCTAATTCCCCGGACCCAGGAGTTACCGGTTCCTCCTCACCCATCTCTAAATCATTTTATGCCTCTCAGCGAAGAGCCTCAGCAGACACCCAGCCTTCCTAGTCTGAGAATCTGCTGATATTTCCCAGCCCTGTTCCACACCCGTCTCCAGCTTTCTTTTTGCTTGGGTGGTGGGCTCCGAGCTAGCAGGGACCTTGGAAACCAGCAATTCTGGTTAAACAAGCCAGAATGCATCCTTACCGCAGAACATTCTGCAGCAAGAATGAGGGAGATTTATGTGTATGTGGACATAGAAAGATGTCCGGGATGTATTGTTAAACAGGAAAAGCACGTTGCAGAATAGCATGGAAAGTACAGTCTCATTTGTGTTACAATTTAAATAAAGGCTATATATACTCCCATGCTTGCATATGCATAGAAAATGTCTGGAAAGATAAAAAGGGGCTGTTAGCAATTCTTGTCCCATGGGACGAGGAGAGGCAGAAAGGGACTTTAACCTCTCATCTTACATTATGTGCTGTTACATTTTTTTTTAACAATTGCATTACTTTCATAATTTAAACATAAATCTTTCCCCCCATAAAAAAAAAACCCCAGCAATCTCTCAGTCAAGCCCCTTCTTATGAAACTGAGGCCCAGAAAAGGAAAAGGACTTTCCCAAGTTGCACAGCATTTATGGCTTGGCCTCAGCCCTGGTCCTGCCCTCTCCTCACCCCAGGCACACAGCTCTGCCAACCAGACCTGCCTGACCCATGAGGGAATCATGGACCCCCCTCTTTCCAGAGTAGGAAGGGCCCCTGACTGGGGTGTGACCTTACTTGAGGGAACAGTCAGATAAAGGCAGGGGATCCCAAGGTAAGAGTTACAGATGGATTTGAAACTTGGCTGGATGGCCTGCACATGCCCATGACCTTATCCAGCCACCGCCAGCCCAGTCTTCTGACATAGCTGGCCTCTCTCGGTCCAGGCATGGCCAGGGTAGGGACTGAAGGGTCATGCCTAGCGTGACCTACCATCTTGATTTGTCCAGGACTGAGAGGTTTCCCATGACATGGGACTTTCATTGCTAAATACTGGGCAGTCCCGAGCAAACAGGAACAAGTTGGTCACCTTTGTCTTGCCAGACATGTCTGCAGCAATCTGCTAAGAGTCTGGCAGGATTCTAGAAGGTTGTCTCTGGGTGAAGACAGCTACCCCCTGCTCTGACTTTTCTGAAAAGTATGAAGCTACAAGAGTTAATTTATATTTTGTCAGTTGTGCTTTCCCCTTGCATTCGTACACACACACACACACACACAGACATACACACCCCTCCTAGTCTCCCTTAGTCTAGAGAGGCATGTCCCCCGGGGCCCAGCGATCCCACCCAGAGCCCACTGACTCTCTTTTCTCTTTGAGCAACTTAATCCTCAAGAAATTCTAGAGCCTATAATTACACATGGGATTCAGAGCAATTTCTCATCTCTACCTCCCCATCCCAGGAGACAAAAAGGAAATTTCACACCCTAGTGAGCCCAGCTCATCTTTTCCTCTTTGATGCCAGCCTGGGGTTAAAAAGCAGGGACAGACGACACACGCCTCCTCTGGGGCCTGATTCCTCTGCTGATTTTGTGATTCAAAGCATGCATCTTAAAGATCATAATCTGATTGTGCTATGCCCGCCTTCCCGGCCGATTAATGGCCTCCTCGCTTCCGCATTGCAGCACCCGGTGCTCTGCAGAAAGCCACCTCCCACACCCCAGCCCCACCTGAGTCTGGCAACATGGAGGAGAAAAGGCTAAGGCTAAGCAGAGGGCTTGGCAGGGAAAGAACAGAGATCTGAGTTCAAGTCGTAGTCCTGTCTCTAGCTAGCTGTGTGACTTTAGATAAATTACTTCCCCTCTCTGGTCTTCGATTTCCTCACCATGAAATGAAGGTATTGGCCTACATGGTCTCTAAGGCCTTTTAAACCCAATAAACCAGACTTCCTTGGTTAAATCCTGGTTCCTCCTTCTAGGTGGGTAAATTTGAGCAATTTTCCCATGCCTCTGTCTTCATCCACCTCATTGTCGTAGTAAGAATTAAGTGGGTTCACATTTTTAAAGTGCTTAAAGCAGTGCCTGGTACATGTCAAAGCACTTGTGACAGGGATATTAGTGCTCCATGTTTATACACCTGGCACTCACTAGTCCCATGCCTGGCTCTTGGACTCCCAAGTACCTGTGGTTCTCTGCCCTGCCTGATGGGTTTCTTTGATCCCCACACCTCCTACCCCCATCACTCCAGTGTCCTTGCCCTGAGCTCCATGCAGGCTAGAAGAGCAAGGAGTTTAAATGGCTCAGAGTAGCCCTCAACCTGATGACGGAAGCGAGTTGGCATATAAATACCCCAGCGGTCCCTCTGAGATAGCTCTGAGGCTTCTTCTGCACAGACTCACAGAGATGCAGAGGACTGAACCCTGTACCCAGGAGGCTAACTGCTCATTCACACGCTTTTATTGGCTTCCCTCCTGCCTTCCGCTTCCCCACCCAATGCTCCCCAGGATCGCCCTCCAATAAATAGCTTGCACCCAAATCCTTCCCTCAGTAATTACTCTGTGCTAATGCACTTTACAAATGTACCTTCGTTTTTTTTTTATTTTTCTTTCTTTCTTTTTTTTTTTTTTTGAGACAGCATCTCACTTTGTCATCCAGGCTGGAGTGCAGTGATACAATCATAGCTCACCACAGCCTCCAATTCCTGGACTCAAGAGATCCTTTCACTTCAGCCTCTCAAGTAGCTAGAACTAAAGGCATGAGCCACCACCTTTGACTATTTTTTAATTTTTTTGTAGAGATGGGGTACTACTATGTTGCCCAGGTTGGTTTTGAATTCCTGGCCTCAACTAATCCTCTTGCCTCAGCCTCCCAAAGTGCTGGGATTACAGGGATGAGCCACGGTGCCTAGCCTACCTTCGCTCTTCACAACCACCTGAGAAGTGAGTGTGATTGTGCCCATGTTACAGATATGGAAACTGAGGCCTATGGAGGCTAAATGCCTTGCCCAAGACCACACAGCAGGTGAGTGGCGCAGCTGGGATTTGAAGTCACATCTGTCTGACTCCACAGGCTCTACGTCTCCATCCATCTCCCTCTGTTCCCTCTGAGGGGTGGATCCTGCTTCAGAGATGGAAACCTCATTGCTTCAGAGGTACAGCAGCAGCTCCTTTGCTCCAGGCAGAGAGCAGCGGCACAGGGCTAGGGCCATCTGTGATGATTTTCTCCTTTTCCAGTCACACTCATAGAACCCTGGGGTGGCATGGTCCCAGGCAGAGCAATCAGGCACTTGGTAGCACAGTTCCAGTTTACATGCAGACATGTGGAGACCCTTGGGGGAAAGTGGCCTCCCAAAGCGCCAGCGTTGGACTGAGCTGCTACCTGCCCCAAGGGGGTGCAGCACTTCCTGGTCCCCAGCTGAGCCCCCCTCTCAGCCCCTACAAGTGTGTGCTGATGGCAAGCAACAGGCCATATGCTTGAGACTTGGGGAGCCAAGCCTCACATCCTCCTGTCAGCGTAGAGAGCTCACTTCAGACCTGCCCTTTTTACAGTTGCTGGCTTTATACATGTCAATAGTTTTTATATGCACATGGTTCCAAATTCACAAAAGCCTTCCTCTTTTCCCTGTGCCCCAGCTTCCCTCCCTGAAGACAACAGCCACTGTCACTGATCTGCTATGAATCTTCCAGAGAGAGTCTACCCACAGACAGGCACATAAATGCAGTCATTGCAGGTACATTCTCCTTTTTCTCTAGAACAAAATGCCTTGGAGATCTTTCTGTGCAAGTACAGAAAGAACTTCCTAATTCCTCTTTAAAGCTATATAGTATTCCAGTGTATTTATGTCCCGTAATTGATTTAGCTAGTTCTCAGTGAATGGAAATCTGAGTTATTTCCAATTACTTGCTAATACAAATTTTGTACATAAGTTACTTCACACACTTGGAAAATAAGCATAGGAAAAATAGCTAGAGATAGAATTACTGGGACAAAAGAAATGCACATTTGTAATTTTAAAAGATATGACACGGCCGGGCACGGTGGCTCACTCTTGTAATCCCAGCACTTTGGGTGGCAGATCACAAGGTCAGGAGTTCAAGACCAGCCTGATCAATATGGTGAAACCTCATCTCTACTAAAAAATACAAAAATTATCCAGGTATGGTGGTACCTGCCTGTAGTCCCAACTATTCAGGAAGCGGAGGCAGGAGAATCGCTGGAACCTGGGAGTAGTTTTCAGTGAGCCGAGATCACGCTGTTGCACTGCAGCCTGGGTGACAGAGTGAGACTCCGTCTCAAAAAAAAAAAAAAAAAGAAGATGCAACAAACGGACCTCCAAAGGTGTTGAATCATTTCCTCTTCCACCAGTCATGTGCTGTGCTGACAGCCAACTACATGCCAGGCTTGGGAGTGGATTACTGATTCTGGTCTCACTATATTCCCGGTGGGGGCGGCACTATCATCCTTATTTGATGAGAAAATTGAGAGAGTTCAATTTTGCCCAAGAAGACCGAATAAACCTTTTATTGGGTATTTCATTACATGCTAGGGTCTGTGCTTTACATTTGTTATCCTGTTTAACCTTTACAATGACACTATGAGGTGGGTACTTTTACCATCACCGCCCATCTTATAGGTGAGCCTAGTGTTGGGGCTCAGAGAGGTTAAATAGCTTTCCTAGCATCACACAGCCAGTGGTAAGTGGCAGGGCCCAATGTGAACCTGGACTCTCCCTGCTCCCACTAGGAGTCTGTCACTGGCTTCCTGTTTCCTGCCTTATGCGTGCCTCAAACTCCTCTGGTTTGGGGGTTGG